GTTATTGAATTATTTTGCCGATTAATACTTTTTATGTTATCAATAGATTAACTAATGCTGTTTTATATATACATTTTTAATGTTTTATTCATGAAATTTTCATAATTAATTAATAAAATTTCAAATAATATTTCAAGAGATAAATGTAGAAAATTAATTTATTTTTAGCACAATATTTTATTATTTGATTTTTGTGAAATAATGAAAAATTGAAGGTAATAAGTGCTTGTGATCTTTTAAAACTAAAAAATGAAAACATAATAAGAAGTTTATTAATGTTTTAGTAAATTCTTGTGTAAATCTCTATGAAATAATAAACATTAAATATAATCTTATAACCTTCTAATGGTTGTAATAACTTTTATACCCAGTTCTCAGCCAGGACTCGGGATATAATAGACCTCTTACACTCGTTACTTTAACTTACTGTTAAATTATATTTTAGAATAAAACATGTATATATATATAAACAGGTTTTATATTATACAGGTGTATATTATATATATATTATATATGTTTTATTTTATTAGGCATGCTGTAAATACAAATGCCTAATAAGAGAATGTTTATTGTGACAAAGTGAAAGAAAATAGATTTACTAATTGTCTTTCCTGATTAAATTTTAAAATAAATTATAAATTATTTTTCAATTTATCATGTTATTTATTATGTACAAAATATTAAAATTTTATTTTATTTTTTTATAGAAAAATAAATTTACAAAAAATATTGAAGCACGTGTAAAGTTGAAAACAATTTATTTATAACGTTTATTGGCATGAAATACCTTATAAATCGTTTTATCTAAGTAAATTTTTAATTATTTGAATATTTATATAACTTCAAAAATATTTTTAGTCAATCCGTTTTCAATAGAAATTAGTTTACAATGTAAGGTTAGATATCATCAATATTTACTGTTTCTTACTATAAAATAATAATTAAATAACATCGCATTTTAAATTATTTAGAAATTAAAATCCTGAAAATATCTGTAATTTATTTTAGATATATGTTTATAAATTGATGTGATATGCAAACACACAAGTTATATTCAAGTCAACATTTATTTATTATGGACAAAATTCTTTACAAAGCAGCCATTTTTCCGTAGAAACGATGCAAAAAAACGTCCCCAAATGATGCAAAAAAATCTCACATATTGCACATTATGTACAGAGTTAGAATTATCTAAAGAGGTAGCAAAGAGTTTTAGAACGAAGCATATTTTACACAAGCCAAGCATCCGTAACCTATGCCAGATTTACCAATAATAGTGTGGAGCGGCGTGGTGAGCGTAGAAACCGTGTTTAACAACGGGTGCTGCGTAATGAGCTGCTGCGAAAAGAGGCGCTCCTGCATAGTGGTGCACAGCTGAAGCGTGCAAAGCTGGAGCATGTACAGCTGGAACTGGAGCAGCCAGAGCAACAGCTGGAGCAGCTGCAGCTACTGCAACACCCTTATTGATAAGAGTGGCTGCTGGATCTTTGGGTTCGGTTCCGGGTTCGTTGGTCTGGATGTTGGCTCTGAAACCGGCAGCATCGGCTACGTAGTTGACAACACGATGACGACCGTCAGCATCTCTCAATCCGTAAGAACCGACTTTGTTGCCAAAAGCGTCACCAGATTCGCTTCTGAAGGTTCCTCCTGTAGTGTGGTCTTCTTTGTAACCGAAGTTGTAGTTACCAAAAACCTGAAAAATTTATAATTTTAATACAAACATACTTAAATTTAATTCTAGAAAATAGCTTAAACGAACTTACATCTTGGTTTCTGTGTTGTACACTCGCCCCAGTTTCTAAAATTCCTGCTGGAGCGTATAAAACGCCCGCTCCTCTTGCAACAGCAACAATGGCACAGAGAATTAAGAACTAAAATACATTTATATATTTTATTTTTAAAGCATACAATATATTAATAAATTTGCATGTATATATTCAATGGTTTCTTACCTTCATTGTGGATTCAGTTGAGTTTGATTGAAGTACTGATGCTTTTGGTGTTCGTTCGAGCGTATTTATACTAAATCTTCCAGTAAGATTCTGATATTTCTGACGTCATAGGCGGTATTCCGAGGTTCCCGTCCATTTACCCTGAAGGTCAGATAACCCGGTTTAAAGACACGACATTCAGCCAGTTTGGAATTATCCAAGGCTGAGGTCACTTTCACTATAGGCGGGTAATCGATTTGTATTCATTAGTTCGTTCGTATGTTATCAATAAGTTACAATGTTTCTATAGTAATATTTGTTCATATAAATACGATTTTTAATTGAAAATAATGATTGCATCAACAACATTTGCCATTGGAATATTCATTTTAATTGGCCATCTTTTGTATTAAGTCCCTTATGAATCTAATGATTAATTTAATCTAATTTTTTAATTATACAAAAATGCTAATTTGTTTATAAATTAATTATTATTATTATTGAAACTACAAAGAATAAAATTAATGTTAAATTTCTTTATTAATATTCATAACTTGATCCTAGGATGTTGTTAACAATATAACATTCCTAAGAATACATTAAATAGAATTAATGATTTTGAAAGATTTCTCATATCGAATTGCTAAATATTTTAATTTTATAGGTTAAATTTATATAGAAATTTCTCAAAATTCAATTTTTAGCAAGGAATTCCTTGATGACCTAGTTATCCACTGATACGCCCAGAGATGGAGGAGGAAAAAGGAGTAAGTTCAAAGGGAAAAAAAGAATGTTTTGTTTATTAATGAACTAATCTGGCAATAGGGTATAGGTCACGGACGGTTATCTATTGCGGATACAATATATTAACAAGTTACGAATGGGTTTTCACACGTTCAACCTTGGTAGAACTAGGTGTGGTCTTCGAAACAACGAGGAATATTAAGATGAGAAGTTGTCACTTATCTCGTTTAGGCGCTTTCTTAGTTCCGTTATCGTTCTTCCGCCCATATTTTATACGTTTATACAAAAAATTTGACTCGTAGAACATTACAAACCCTTTGGAAGAACCTTGGTGCCAGTGGATCTGGAATCACAAGACACTTTTTTTATGTAAATCTCGTAGAGCTAATTTATTCATCCGTTAACCTTATTATGTCACGGATAACAAGAAAATTATTATTTTATTCAACATATCATTGTTTTCCACATGAAAGAGATATTGTTGAAGTTTTAATTATTTGTATAAAAATGTTTAAATCTTTAGTAATTATTGTATTAAATTAGGTTATTCTTTAATCCTTAAGAATGCGTGATGAGTAATAAAGAAAAGTTGTAGCTGTTACGGAATATATTTTAACCTTAACATAAAAAAGTAATTATTATTTTTATATAAATAATGTAAATATAAAAACATATATAGCATTTTTAACATAAATTTTGGATTTTTTTTAATAAAAAAAAAACGAAATAAGTAACCTACGTGAATTTGAAATGCTTTTTATTTAATATACAATTAGAATCATGAGGATTATAGATAATCCCACTTAAACTTTCAACAACGGCCATTTTGTTAGGAAGTTTGCTTGAACCGAAATTAATAAAAAATGACCTCCAATGACTGTTTTTATGTTCTCGTTAGTGGACGTTGTTCAGAGGTTTCACCGTATTATTATTTATAGTTTAATATTATCTATATTCTTTGTAATTATAACTGTAAAAAATCTACAATATAAGTATGATAATAAAACTAATTTGTGCAAAATAGATAATATTGGAAGTTATATAGAAAGATCTTAAAGATTTTAGTTTTTTTGTATGGTGTAATCTGTGGTTCTCGAAATTGAATAATCTCATATCTTATTATTAGAATTCTGATGCAAAGTTTCTATAGAATAAACATTTGCTAACGCATAAAATATAGTAAAAGTGCTCATTTTAATGCAGTGCAAAACTATTTTTTGACTTTTTACTGTGACAAAGAGTACACTTTAAAATTACTAAAAGTGTTTATTTCCTTACTTTAATCGAACGGCCGAAGAAAGAATCGGAATGCCCACCAGTAGCCGAATGGATAAAACCAACGAAGACTGGTTGAACAAGCCCAAAAAAACCACTAAACGCTGGTCGTGGGTTCACGCCTCTTCAACGGGCTGGACACGTAAAGTTTTCCGGGTTTCTTCACCCGTCTAGCACCTAAAGAAATAGGGACCAATTTCCCAAAAGGTACCCTCTCCTTGGTAGATCGCCCAAGTATTGCGTTCTCTTATTTTATCAATCTAATCTAATCCTATTGTGGATCTGCCCTCTTAGTATTTCACAAGGTGTAAAGAATTTTTTAAAAAGAAAATCGTTTTGTTTTACGAGCTCCTAAATATTAAAACTTTATAGAACAAAGTATTTTAGCTTCAATCATGGCCACACACATGTAATCTTGCGTGTTCGTGGTGAAGTCTCGTTAATGAAGCCTTCACAGTCGAATCAGTATTTGTTAAGGGGCCAATAAGAATTATGGGCGACCATTATGTGAATATAATAAATGAGAATATGTTCGATTTTATAGTTTTTTTTTATAGAAAAGGAATTTTAATCATTATTTTACACATTTAATTGGGTATTCCCTCTCAATTCTGTGATTAATGATTTTTAATGTAATTTGAATTATATTGCTAGTCGTTATATAAAATTTACAATTAAAATAATTAATTTTTCTGCAACTAAACACATTTCTAGATAACTTTTAACGCATAATCCTAATAATAATAATCTTCACGATGAAAGATTAGGATCTTGTTAATGCTATTTCTGCCATATTTCCTTAATAATGTAGATAATATTTAATTAAAACTCTAAGAAAAGTATATTTAATTTTTATTCAATGAATTAAAATACATTCCGATATATTAACAAGATGGTAATGAATTGTGATACATCATACGTCTAAAAACATTCTTCAATTCTGCTTCGTACCAAAATATCGTTAGTATATTTTGAGTGGAGAAAAAAACGATTACTTCGATCATCTCTAACAATAAATATAATATCAGTTCTCTATTAAAATCTCAACGTTCTACGCCCACAGCCATTACGGCTGACAGAACTGTTTTTTTTATTTTTATAAATTCTAACCTGAAGAGGTAAAAACGTCAGAATATTGTTTTTCTTCCTGATACAAATTTGCAAAAGGCAATTTTCATTGATCGGTATCAAATTCAGATTATCGAATGCGAAAGAATGGAATCACAATTCTATAGATGAAAGCTTTGCAAACTTTGCAAATATAAGAAATGGTACAATAATAATAATAATAATAATAATAAAGTCGATCTATCTTATGATCTAATTACATTAATTATGTACACAAAATCATCTGTACAATTATCNCCCTAAACACTACTACTTGGACGTGGGTTCGCGGACTGACCATGAGTTTTCTGGGGGTGGTTTTTAAATGTTTTTTTTATGTGTCTAACACCTAAATAGGGGGCAGTTTCCGATAGAAATCGTTCTGGGAAGCATTTCCTTGATAGATCGCTCTTGTGTTGCGCTACCTTATTACAAAAATGTACCAAAATTTTAAATAGATTAATAACTAAACTCTTAAAAATAAATTCAAATGCTTTCATTAATTTAGTAATTATTTCAGATGGTTATTTCTCAAGAATCACTAATTTTATGCCATTTTTTTAAGCCTTGTTTGTTTCCACACGAAGAAAGAACACCATTTTCTATATGTTTAATTATAATTATGGGTCTGTTCAATTGGTTGAGACGATGTGCATTCTTAGGTTAAGTTGACGTCATCTCTTCAGTTTTACAATGAGAAGTTCTAAAGGATGACGTCAAATTTACGTAAAAATGTGCATTTCCTCAACCAATATATATATATATATATAAACGTATATGAATAGCAGAAAAATAAAATAAAAAAGTACCCAAAATAATCAAAGGGATGATTGATTATTAGAAAATTTCCTTATTTTAATATTATGCCAATTAAAAAATAATTAATTATTTTAGTGATTTAAGTAACAAAATCGATGACTCCTTATGTTTAAAATATAATTATCTAATTAAAAAAGTTTAGAGAATAAAAGTAATTCTGTTAATAGCTAAAATAGTAGTTTATTACCTTTTAAAGTAATTTAAATGAACTAAGTTTTCTTGTAGTGTTTAGAGTTTAATGTATTTTTAAAAAGGTTAGTTTAGTACACGGGCAATCCGCTAAGAGAGTTCTATAAGGAATTAGCCCTTATTTAGGTGTTAGACAGGTTAAGAAAACCCGGAACACTCTACGCGGTTGCCAGTTGGTAAGGTTTGAACCCACGACTAAGGAGTGTTCAGTGGGTTTATCCAATCTGCCACTGGTGGCATATGTTGATTTTTATTATTTTTATATAAATAATGTAAATATAAAAACATATATAGCATTTTTAACATAAATTCTCGAATATTTTTATGCACCAGTTCATATGCCAACTTTAAAAATAAAATTCTAGTTATACGAAAAATCATGTTTACTTTAATTCTTTAAAAAAAATACAAAGTATACAATTACAATATAAATTAATTAAATAATTTTAACATAAATTTTTATTTCAGTTTGCATACAATTTGAAAATTAACGGTTATGTCTTTTTTTAAACGGTGTCCGTTGCAACATTATTTTATTCATTTTATTTTCATTTAATTTAAATTTTCTAATTGTTAAACTACAAATTTGTATAATTAAAAGAGACGTTAACATCAAATTTGTTGAAATAAAATAAATTTATTGCATTTATTTGAGCATTCAGTCAACATATTACTTTCCCAATCTACGTCCGTACAAATGACTGTATGGTGTTGGACCACCGACGATTCCCAGTGGTACGTAGCCGGGATGACCATAATATCCGTATCCACCATATCCATATGGATATGCAGCATAAGCCAGAGAATGTCCTCCTCCCACTACGTATGGAGCGCCATAAGCGTGAATCGACTTGACTCCAGGTGCTGCTACTGCCACTGATTCAGAACGAACTGCACCAACATGGGGACCAACAGCAACTTCTCTATGAATAGATTTTACGGCTGCGTGGGGTGCTGCAATAGCCTCTCCGTAAGTGTGAACCGCTGCTGGAGCTGCTACTGCTACTGCTGGAGCGGGTGCTGCAACAGCATAGGGTGCGTGTGAATATGCGTGAATGGATTTAACGTGTGTTGCGGGTTCAATAACAGCTGGTGCTGGTGCAGGAGCTACTACAGTTTCGCCATATGTATGAATTGATTTTGCGGGACCGGCTACAGCAACAGCGGGGGCGGGGGCAGGTGCAACAAAAGTTTCTCCATATGTATGAATTGACTTTTCGGGGGCAGCTACAGCAACAGCGGGAGCGGGAGCTGGTGCGACGACAGTTTCACCGTAAGTATGAATTGATTTTGCTGGTGTTGCAACTGCGATGGGTGCTGGTGCTACTGCTACAGGTGCAGAAACGCTTTGTACGTGTTTTACAGTTTTGTGACCCGGTCCGATTACAGTTTCTCCATAACTATGAATGGATTTAGAAGGCGCTGCAAAACCAACGGGAGCAGGAGCGGCTACAGCAACGGGAGCGGGTGGTGCAACGGCTACAGGAGCCTCAGCGTAAGTGTGAATAGATTTTACGTGTGCAGGTGCCACTACAGCAGGTGCTTCCACAGCAACAGGAGCGGGTGCCGGGGCATAAAGAGTTTCGCCGTATGTATGAATGGATTTTGCAGGTGCAGCAGCTACGGCAACAGCTGGAGCAGCCACAACTGGTGCTTCAACTGCATGAATTGATTTTACAGGTGCAGTTAATGTAATAGCAGCAGGTGCGGCAGGAGCTCCTTCAACGACAACGGAAGCTGCTTTATTAATAATAGTATCAGCAGGATCCTTCGGCTCAACACCGGGTTCATTTGTTTGGATATCGGCACGGAAACCAAAATCATCAGCTACATAATTGACAATTCGTACACGGCCATCGGCATCTCTAAGACCATAAGAACCAGCAATGTTGCCTAGACTATCAGAAGCTTCCCTCCTGAAAGTACCTCCTGTGGCGTGATCTTCATTATATCCAAAATTATAGTTTCCCAAATTCTATAAATTAATGTAAATTAGAATTTTAAAAACTATTTCTCGAATTTAAGAGTTTTAAATCTATGAAAAACTTACATCCTGATTACGGAATTGAGCACTTTTTCCAGTGTTGACGACCGCAACTGCTGGTGCAACTATTGGCGTCGCTCTCGCCACTGCCAGAATGGCACAAATCAGCAAAAGCTGAAGATAAATCAGTAATTATACTCCTACTTCTTACTAAAAATACCAAAAAAATTCTATATTAAACATACCTTCATGTTTGTACGCCTCGTTAACAAACTCTTCAGTCACTGACTTTCTTTTATCACAGTTTATATACATAGCAAAGCGAGGTTGACGTGATTTGATAGTCTTATATGATTGGTGCATTTAGTCCTTGAGTATCATTCTACTCGAAGGTGTTTTGTGGTCGTAAGCGTTTTATTATTAAAATAATAGGACTTGATAGTTTTAGGTCAACAGGTGAAAGTTTTTGGTTGGATGTACAACATCTTTATTACAATCCATTCTTATCTTGTGCATCAACTGTTCTTCGATATTTTGTCCTTTCTACGAAACCTTGATCTATATTTTTGACTTATAAAGATTGTTTCAACTTTTATATTTTTGTATTTATTAAATTTTTAAAAAGTTTGACATAATTTACAACGTTTCGATGTAAAAACTTTCGTTAAATGTATTGAAATAATATGAGTTTGTCATGATATGTGTATATAAACTTTATAACAGCGCAGTTCGACTATAAATATATATAAATACAATTATAATTGTGATTTGACATGATTAAAAGGCGTTTATGCATCAGTTTATCTGTTTGTTTGCAGTTTTTCCCATTCTAAACAGCAAAATTCTTGATTATCTAAACATCAAAGATATAGAAATACGAATAATTAATTTATAAATTGAAAATTAAATATATTTTTTATTATTTAATTCTCATTAATTCAATATACGCCATATATTGATATTTCAGGCATTATCCTATATAAAAATTAGTCATCAAGGAGTTGATGAAACAATCAAAAAACCAGTTCTAACCTTGATATCGTAATAAAAATACAGAAACAAGTGCCATCTCCCCTTTATCCAAGTCCTAAAGACAGGTTTGTAACACGATATTCAATGCCACTGATCAAACTATTCCATTTTATTTTTTATTTTTTAATTTTCGTAAGTGAGCCGAAATTAAAAAAAAAAATTGTATTTTGTGAAATGTTTTAAATAAAGTTGAATTTATCTTAATTTTTATAGGTTTCTACCCGATTAATTTGAGTAAGGATTTCATAAGGATATAATTAGTGTGGTTGACAACTACAAGGACAATTAATTGATCCGCATTCCTTACCTAATTTTGGTAATTCCCAATATCACTGAGTCATCATCTTACGAAAACTTTGGACATATTTTTAAAAAGATTTTATTGTTTCATTGTTTTTCAGAGATAGCGATGATATCAATGTCATATATCTTTAAATAAGCAAAAAAATGCGTTTTTTGAAGAGAATTTATGAGCTTATTTCCCCGTTTTATGTGGAAAAATTAATTTAATATCATGGAAAATGGATCTAAAAATGGAACAGAATTAAAAATAACAATAAACAGTTCGGACATTAAATTAATTAAAGGGCATTATAGAATTTCTGAGAGATTTTGTGTATATACGCACAAACTTTTGAGGCCCTCGTAAGTGTGATGTCCGAATCAAATTACCCTTTTTGCTCTTCCTGTGTAGGGCCCGAATAATAATAACTCTGTAATATATAAATTTTCTATCAACATTTTTATTTTAGATAGATATATTTATTAACTTTTAAGAAGTAATATGTAATGTTAATTAAATTAATTTGAATAAAATTATGATTAATCATTTCAAATTAGGAGTTGAAAAAATTCAAGATAATTAATTGCAGTTATTTTTAAAAAAGAATTTACAAGTGCCTTGTATAAATAATTAAACTGGCTGCTGTTTATCAGGAGTAGATTTAGGTGTTGTTCTATAAATCAAATGATACAAAGTAAAAAAGAAACATTAAAATAAATGAGAAATAAATATGGCATTATTTATTTGGCATCTCTTAAAAAACCAGAAAAACCAAATAATACATAATGAGTTAAATGAAGATAAGAATATCGATTATATGTTTAATAAATATTTTAAATAAATAATATTGGTATAGCCTAAATAATAAATTGCAATTCAATAAAAAGTAAAGTATTCAAATCAATAGGCTATTTATTAGAATGTTTGTCACGTTTCTTTTTATTTGTAATTAGTAAAAAGAGTAAAATTCTAATGTTATCAAAGTGAAAAAATTTACTTAGTTTAGGATATACAGAGAATCCCTTCGAACCACTGGTAATTCGTGGGTAGAACCACTGATCGTGGGCTCGCACCTGTCCATTAGATTGACAGCAAAGAGTTTTCGGGTATTGTCTAACATTTAAATAAGAGCCAGTCTTCCATAGAAAATCTTCTCGAGAGGTATAAACATCCGCGTATTGTGTTGCCTTATTTCTATCAAAACCAATCCGAAATTCCTAACCATGATATTGTGTTCTGGATTTTGTAATTACTCAAATACGTACCTTAAAGAGATCATATTGTACCAGATTATTATCCACTAAATAAATTCAATGAGGATAGACCAGGTACGGTATGGCCTGTTTGATGAATTTCATTGGATAAGACTACGCAAAAAGAGGACGATCTACCAAAAGGGAGCATCCCGGGAAGACTTTCTATGAGAAGCTTACCCTAAAGTGTTACACACGTAAAGAAAGCTGAGAAAATTCTGCCTTATAACATTCAAAGACTTGAAAAATGTTTTCAACATGAACATAGGCAATGACCCCTCGAACCCGTAGGCTGAGCTTTATTAATTAAGGCTCTTTCTGACCATGTCACTTGTCACATCCTTTGTTAAATGGAATAAAGTGACAGTAAGTTAAGTTAAATAAGTTGAATAATATATCGTTATTATAACAGACCAATTAAACTATTTAGGCGGATTAACTTTTAATCCGTCACTTAATAGAGGATAGTATAGACCCTCCTAAGTTTCATGCATTAAAATTGTTTAAAGTGTATTTACAATTTTTATTATTTTAAATTTAAAAATTTGAAAATTAAAACATTTCCTATTGTATAAACGTGTAAATATTAAAATTCGATATAAAATTTCATTTTTGCAATGAAATCTCCGAACAACAGTGAGAACATAAAAGTGGCCTTTGGAGATAGCCTTTGTTAGAGTTCCGACTGTATAAAGTTGGATATCTAATATATACAAAAATAATAAATATAATTTAACAATAAAATATTTATTTTCACAATAGACAAATGTTGCAATGAAATGAATAATTTGTAATTGTTTTTCAGGCCTAGTCGACGGCCAAATGGCTTCAGTACTTCTACTGAGAAGTGAGATAAGCACTAAATTAAAAAATATTTTATAAGAAAAAATATATAAATAAAAATATATTTTTTTATTTAAATGAAAGTTTTCTCTTTATCAGAGTCAGTGGATCCATTGACTCTTTCTTATCTATATTGTGTGGCGCCATCTTTTGAGTAGATTATTAATAAAGAGTTTAAAAATATACAAATATAATTTTATTATAAATAAAAAAATAAGAAGAAAAATAATAATCATTAAAATCTGTAATTAAGTTTTATTTTTTAAATTTTTTAAAATNTGTAGTGAAGGTCGTATATTTATTCACTTGATGCCTGGAGGAAATATGTAACAATTAATTTTGCTGAATATCCTCTATTCTGTAAATGTTTTGAACTAATGCCAAGATAAATACATTTATTATTATTATTTTTATTTTTAATATAAAACTCTTTCAAGTATACAATAGTTTCATATGATAAGTCTAGTAGTGGTAGAGTAGCTAAAATCCCTAAACACTACTACTTGGACGTGGGTTCGCGGACTGACCATGAGTTTTCTGGGGGTGGTTTTTAAATGTTTTTTTTATGTGTCTAACACCTAAATAGGGGGCAGTTTCCGATAGAAATCGTTCTGGGAAGCATTTCCTTGATAGATCGCTCTTGTGTTGCGCTACCTTATTACAAAAATGTACCAAAATTTTAAATAGATTAATAACTAAACTCTTAAAAATAAATTCAAATGCTTTCATTAATTTAGTAATTATTTCAGATGGTTATTTCTCAAGAATCACTAATTTTATGCCATTTTTTTAAGCCTTGTTTGTTTCCACACGAAGAAAGAACACCATTTTCTATATGTTTAATTATAATTATGGGTCTGTTCAATTGGTTGAGACGATGTGCATTCTTAGGTTAAGTTGACGTCATCTCTTCAGTTTTACAATGAGAAGTTCTAAAGGATGACGTCAAATTTACGTAAAAATGTGCATTTCCTCAACCAATATATATATATATATACACACCAATATATATATATATACACACCAATATATATATATATATATTTTCTTTTTAGTAACAAACAAATATCGTTCCGGGTACGGCCTAACGTACGTTTGTTTGTCGATTCGTTTTCCGTACACATAAAAGTCTACAACTGTTCCTTATTACAACGACTGAGGAATGTAATAAAAGATAATAATTACAGAAGAAACATAGACCTGTTTTGATAACAATTTATTAAATTAGAATGTTTTTATATAAATATGTAACGAATCATTAGGTCAACGCTACTTTGAAGCGTGTTATTTTTATTATTGATGTACTGTACACTTACTCATCTTTTGTAGCTATTTAAAGGAATGCAAATTATTCTTTTAATTTATTATCTTTTCTACATGATTACTTGCTATATCTCATATGTAATTCTTCGCTATAATAAGGTTTATAACCTTATTATAACGAAGAATTAGAAATATGGGTATATAAATTTAATCTTACAAGTTGGCATTTCATATTTTTCTTCACGGAGATTGAATATTACAAAATTTATTTATACCATTAACTTCACTCGTCTACTGTTAACTTTTAACCTTTAGCACTAATCCTCGTAGAATTAGTTCTATTTTATAAAATATTTTAAATTAAATATATAAAAATAAATCGTTTTATTCTTTTGTAGTAAGAAGCCACTGGTGTTCGAATGAATAAAACCATTTAACAGTGATGTGACCCTGGTATAACCTCTGTATACGTCAAATTCTTAGTGGGACGTCTGTAGAGATGTCGGATTTATGTATAAGGTAGATAAGCTATGGCTTAGGGCTTCACTTTAAATAACTTTTTTTTTTATAAAAATAGTTTTGAGGGGTTTCGTACCACATCACTGTTTCGGATTTGTGTAATTAACACCAGCTCTCTGTGTGGTCCATATGGAAAAATTGTAAAATAGTATAATATTTTATTTAAAAATCTTCAGAGATAAACCTTTTGGGACTATTCGCTCATTCATTTTGTGATAAATGTGGACTCTCTCACAGCTTAACTCCAAAAAATATAGAAATATATTTTCTTTAGAAATCGAAAATTTTACATATGTCGAAATTTTGAAGATTTAAACATAAAAAATAAGGTTAGAAATGTTCGTAACCAGTAGAGATCGTCGAGGAATGTATTAAATAAATAATATGTTACAGTATTACGATATAAGATTTGGTAGGTTAATTGGAAATTTCCCTAAATAAAAGCGAAAATTTTCCATAGTTTATCTATTAATTTATGTAAATGTTGTTAACAATTTTTTGTTTTTTGGATTTTACATGATATTAATGTTTCCTTTATATGTTACATGTTTTGGGAGAAATTTTTTTTTCAACATTCTTTACTGTTAAGGTAAATAATACAATATAAGAACACAATATGGCATCATGAACATTATTATAAATCATATTTAACTGTTTAAATTTAGCAATTACAATAAATAAATACTGCAATTGAAAGAATTTCTTTCTATTATTATAATTACTAAACAGTAAACACAAATACAAAGTGAAAATACAAGATGGCTAAAAAATCATTTATCCATGACTGGCTTCACCTCTCGGTTAACCGAATTTTGGACTCCTTGTAAATATTTACATTTATTTATTATCAGTTTACATTACTCTTTAGAATTGTAAGAACAGTTTTATTTATAGTGAAGTAAATCATTGTAGTTATAAAATTGATTTCTTACGCAGAGGGGTTCCGGATTGTACCCGCTCTAATCCGGCACCCCCTCGGATTACTGAGAGTAAATAGGCGTAAAATCTACATAAATGCGATGAACGACGTCACTTTTAATCTGTTTTAAACCTTTTACAACAAAATCTGCGAGTCTTTCTATTAATGAATCAATATTTTCGTATGAATTCTAACAGAGGTGCAATAATTAGTAAAATAACTTTTGATAGTATGTCTTATCACCTTCCATTTTTTTGACTTTATATTTTCCTGACTCATAGCTCCTAGTGCGTGTCGAATAGTATCACTATTTTTGTACCAGATAAATTTATTTTATAAATGTAAATGTGTCATATCTAAACATTCCTATAATCACTACAGTTTAGAATAATGATATATAACTTTAACTCAGATAATTTATTTAGAGAATTAGAGATAAATATGAAATTTGATTATATTAATAAGTTCATTTCAATCATTACTGTATATTATGTAATTGCACAAACAAAGCCAAACAAAAAATAATTTTCAGCAATTTTTATCCAAAGAAGAGATTTCAATCACAATAATGGCAATAAATATATTTTACATTTTAAACCTTATCATTATAAATATAATATAAAAACAATTCCAAAATTAAATGTAATTATAAGTCTTAATATTATAGAGTGGTTCAAAAGTCAGGTAACTGTGCTGTGTTTTGCTACAGCATTCAATTTATAATGCTCTTGAGCAAGAAGAGCCTCATTTAAAGCAGGTTTTTCAGTTCTTAAGCAATAACGTATTTGAATATGGCACAATTTAGTATTTACAATAGTTAACTGACTTTTGGGCCACTCTATATTTAATGCCTGTTTTTCACATTTTTATATCTTTAATTTTTTAAAAATAAAAATAATATTTGTTCGGAGATTTGTTTAAATTTTCTAAATATCTTCTTTTATTTTCAATTGGAGCATCCCAATAATTTATTTTTTCTATGCAAGAGTAATCTTTAGATAAATCAATTAACCTATATTATTGCTGTAGATTGTGTATTGAGATATTTATGTATATAAAAAAATTCTGAAAATTTATATTTTAAAAATTATATTTACCTGAAATAACGAGTAATATGAAAATTATGTAATGAGTAATAAAATTTTATAAATTACTCAAGAAATAACGGGAAAGTGTGCGTTTAAAATATTGCAATAGTATGAATAATCGATACACTTCAATTGTTGTTCTTCCTTTGCATTTATATACACTATAAAATATTATTATTTATTAAATAAAAATTTAAATTTTAAAGCTATAAATTACATTAATTTATAATAATTTAAATTTTAAAATAAGTTATAATAAAAAAAATAATTGAGTTTATTTTTAGTAAACATCACAGGAAGAGGAGTTTTTGGCTTAAAATTGCATTTTTTTTTTTTAATCTTAAAGTAGAACATATTTTATCTAAATATCACTTAAGTAAAATTTAACGCAAGAATTCAAGTAGGAAAATTCATTTTAATTTTTTTAAATACGATTTTAATGCGTTGTCAAACCAAATTGTAGTCACAGCAAGAGATATTCCCTAGTCACGTGATCGTCACGGTACCAGTATAGAAACGATTACATGTCTGACACCGATATCCCGTCAATCCGAAAATAAATTGGGAGCGAGTATAAAATCGTGATGTGTCATTGACGTGCTGTACACTTGTGGCATCATGTCGATGATCAAGGTAAGGTGCTACTGGTTTTGCAGGATAATGCTTTATTACGTAAACAACAGAAGCTTAAAGATGTTATATGTTTAGTTTTATAACTCGAATAAGCTATTACACGTTCTTTATTTACTTAAATTTGTGCAATCTTTAAGATAAAAAACCTAATGTAATGATAAAGTTTTTGAATTTTTAAATTTGAAATTTCTATCCAATCACAGATTTTGATATATTCGGAGCATGCGCGATGGCGATTTTTAACTCAACTTATTGTAAAGACAAATTCGATTGAAATTTTAGTCTTAACGTGTAAAATTCTATCGTGTTTTGTAATTAGAATATTTTTTTTTTACATTTAATTTACTAACATTTGTTTATTTTTTTTAATTTTAAAATAATGAATGCCAACGTTTAAATGTTTAAATTTTAAACTATCCAATCACAGGTTTTGATACTCGGAGCATGCGTGGTGGCCGCTTTAGCTCGTTCTTATTATGATGACGAGTTCGAATCGACTAATTACGTTCCTTCTGCCGAAGATTGGGTAGAACATTCCATTCATCGCCGTTCCGCATTCGATTCTGATGAACCTTTGTTGAGAGTTCGACGTTCCGGTCACGGTGTTGTTGGTCACGTGCACACTTACGTCAAAACTGATCACGATGGACATTTCAAATGGGGAGCTAAACACAGTGTTGGAAAGAAATATGCGGGACATCATCATCATTAAGGATTTCACTTTAAATTCGGATGATTCGGTTACAATTTTATTGTATTATATGTAATTAAAGATATTTTATGTTTAATTTAGCCAATGAGTTGTTTCTTACTCCAAGTTCACATGTACAGTACCTAACATAAGTAGGCCTATTTTAAACAAATAGGGCCTAATTGGGGTAAATTCTTTATCGTTTCTATCTCTGAAACATTAGCTACACTCCATTTAACAATGTGGAGGTTGGATTCATTCTAAACAATTATTTTTTACTGGTTTTCTCATCTTATTTGGCTCCAAATCAGTATTTTTTTTTTTAGATATTAACTGAAAAAAATAAATAACGAATATTTTAAATATTAAATATTCGTTATTATATTCATATTAGTCATTCTGATAGCGAAACTAATAATCTAGCAATAGAAACTTGCGATTTACAGATTTAAATAGTCGTTTGTCACACTTCCCATCCAAGCGAGACCCTAAAATTTATTCCTTTTATATAAGAAAATGATATAAATTAGAGGCCCTAGTTGGCTCTAATTCCAAAGTTTAGTTTTACATGCAAGGAAAGTGATACGGAAATAATATAAATAGATTTTTTTTCATCACTCATCAAAATAAATTAGTTTTAACTGTTGGAGAACGATGTGAATAACCAATAACTTTTCTGTGTATACTGATGTATATATATAATATAAAAAGAATTGATAAATTTATTTAAAAATAGAATTCATCAATTTAAATTCTTGTAATTAAAAATGTTTAATATGATGAGCGACAAATAAATTACTTCTAAAACAATTAAATATGACTAGGGATAGATTTGCACATAAATTAAACAAGCTGCATCTTAAGCCCTAACATTTTTATATGCACAATTATTTGGTGGAGGAAAAGGTTCATTTATATCAATATGATGTAATTCCTTCAATGTTTTTCCAATGAGCGAGTTTAAAAAAATGACAGTCAAATCGATGTAAAAGTGCGATGATCTTAATCAAACGAAAACACATATTTTTTTTCTTTCTCATTACCAAATTATTCTATTCAAATTATTATTATAAATATACAAAATATTAAATTATTGTATTTCTTTGATGTTTAAAATTCATTTAACTTGTCCAAAATGAAGATGAATCTTATACTACCAGTCGAAGAACTATCGACAGTGCTCGTGAATACACCACGAGTTGCACTTTGCTACTCAATGCTTAACAATCACATCCGTTTAAATGTATTCTAATGGTAACAATTTAATTTAAACTACTTTTTGATGTTTAAAATGCTTTCGAGACGACGTATGCAGCATTAAAGTTATTGCACATGAAAGAAGAGCTGACGAACATCATTCATATCAGTTGTACGGGGCCGTCAATTAATTATGTTCGCAATTTAAGGGAGAGAGGGGGGTTGCAAAAGGTAAATTATTGTACACGATGTTCGGGTATCTAGGCATTGTTTACATGAACTTTTTATAGTGGTATTAGTGACATTCTTATTAGCTTATTTATGTGATTAAACTTAGAAAATATTTGCAGAACAGTTTATTCATTTCTTCAATGACTATTCTGCGCTTAATTAAAATGGAGTTTGCCAAAAGTACACTTTTGTACACAACGAGAAAGGAAAGGAGTCACGAGTAATTACGTGTACAATTTATGGTAAAAAATTTTACACGTAATTAATGTAATCCTACCGTAGTTTTTATTTTTTCCAACTTTTTAACAAAACTTAATAAATTTAATTGTTTAAAAATTTTCTGCCCTTAAAAATTCGATTTTAAATAATGGAGCTTCTTAGAATCGAAAAAACACAGCAACAGCACTTTTAAGAAGTTTCTTCAATGCACATGATGGCCAAAAAGTCAATTAATCTTTGTCGAAGCGTCAAAAGTATTATTTTAATAAAAGTTATAATCAATTAAAATGTAATTTATATTTTATAACTTTTTATATTTAATTTTATGATTTGATTTTTCATTGCGGCAATGCAAATTATAAAGTACAATTGTCCTGTATAATTAATTATTTTTTTAAAATCGCTAAATACATACCTGTCAAATAATTGAAAAATAAAACTGGAGAAAGGAGCAAGCAACAAAATTTTTTTACATTTTAATTTAAAACATTTCAGATAAATTAAGCGATAGATTTAGGTTAGTTGACATACATACGACCTTTCCTTCTCTACAATTTATTTCTTCTCATCCGAGCAACAAAGTTCATGTTAAGATGCCATTCATCATCTCGAAAATATTCAGTGATATCCGTGTATATGAGCTACGTGATGATGTCCCAGTGGTCCCCCTTTAACTACGTGAGTAGAATGAGAAACTCCTTTGTAATTACCCCAAGCATCGTGAGCTGCGTGACGAGCGAAAGCTAATTGATCTGAAGAGCCAAATCCGGCTTTGGCATTATATCCATGATGTTCGACGAAACCCTTTTGATTGATTGCAGAAAATCCAGGATGGAATTTCGTTTCGGTGCTCTGTGAACCTCTATGCAATTCACCAAATCCATGTCCGTGAAACTCGTGCTCTTTAGCGACCGTATGATGGCTTCCTCCTCCCCATTTGTTAATATTATGGTGTGCCGAGACTAATTTAGAGCCATGAGCTACACCACCGTGTAAGTGATCGGAACGAGCTTGAAACACCTGGTGACTCGCTGCGTTTCCGAAGGGGCTAACTGCGGCTCCACTAATTGATTCGTGGACTGCTGCGTGTCCTGGCAGGGCTTGAGATTTGTAATCGTGTTTCTGAAAGGCCGCTTTACCCCATGCTGGATCGAGGTGACCCTTGTTATCACTGCTATGAACTGCTGCCTTTCCTAAGAAAGGATTAACGTGAACTGCGTGTTGAGAGTGCTTCAAATCGGTACGTCCAGAGAAGGGATCGTGATGCGATGCCTGCACGTGATGTTGTACTGTTTTTCCTCCGAATGGATCGTGTGAAATCGCTTTGTGCTCTTTCGCTAATCCATTAAAACCTATAGGATGTACGGCTGTATGAACGACGTCTTTAGGAGGTAATCCATGGCCAATTATCGGGCCCGGAGCACCAAAATGAAGAGGTGGATGCGCTGATATCAGAAGACACCCAAGAAGCTGAAGAAGTATCTAATAAACAGGAATAAATCTATTTTATTTACATTTATAAATCTAATAAAATATTCAAACTTTTATTCAAGTAACTACTTACAACTTTCCACATGTCTGTACTCTGCTCTAAAATTGATAAAAGTTATTCCAACGCGATTTATGGCACTTTATATAGAGATACCTTACCGTTTGTCCTTCAATCCTTGACCTAATTATTTCGGTGACATTACTGTCTATCCACTCCTATACATATTATATATATTAAACAAAAATTAATTAAAATATAATTTTTAAAATAGATTTTTACCATAATGATTAGAAAAAAAATTCATTTACAAAAAATTAAAAAAAAACATTTTTTAAAGCCATAGACATGCTTTTAACACTAAAATTAATTTTTTTATACTCATAAAATACGTCACACATTTTTATAATGTAGCATAAAAAATATAATTATAAGGCATGTAATCGATGAATTTCGATACAGAAAATGTAAATAATCATAGAAAATTAATATTAATCGATAAATATATTTTCTCATAGACGAAATTGGGCCAAGGTCTTGGATCATTTTTATTGTCAATAACTTGCCAAGCGCTATATATTATATTTATTTTTTGATGTATTTTTGTTCTCAAGGTGATTGAGAGGTGTATAATCACTTCCTGCCTTTGACTGGGATTGCCCCTTCACAAAACATAATAGAAACACTTTTTCTCTTTATCACACATTTAAAACCCTCGCGAAAATAACAGGAAGCACTCATTTTGATTTTTTTTATTAACGTTTATTTTAATTAAATGCGTTTAAAATATCTTTTAATGGCATTTAATTAGTTATTATCTCGCTACTAAGAAAACTGTAATGAATTGTTTTGTTCGTTTTTTATTTTGGTTAAGTTTTATTATAATTAATGTAAACAACTTGTGAAATATTAAGCACTAATTAAAGTAAATTATTAAAATAGACGTGTGAGAAACGAATAAAATCTATATTTTAAGCCGTATAAAATAAATTATATTAACATTTCCACGTCAGTTTGTCTGGATGTTTTCGAGAAATTTAACTAACGAAGGTGAGTCAAAACTTTTAGGATAGTTTTTGGGATTTTAGCATATGATTTTACACCAAATTTTGGTCAAAATATTATCAAATTTTCCATTGTTTTTGATAAAATGAAGACAAATTTCTTGAAATATTTTACCGGTATAAAATGTATTAAGTTTTAAATAATAATTAAAGAATAAATCATTAGGTAAATGCCCAAGAAATAAATAAAAGTATTTTAAACCGTATTAAACTAATTATATTAACGTTTTGTCCGTTAATTTATCTAGATGTTTTCTAGAAATGAGGAAAACTTGAAGATTTCCGGATAATTTCTGATACTCCAGTACATAATTTCATACCAAATTTAGTTAGGAAGGTGTCGAGCAACTTATTATTTTCGTAGAAAATTTATTAAGTTTTAATATTAATATTTTAATAATTTAATTTTTGCTTTTTTAAGATGAAATAGCGTTAAATCCTGTTTTTTTTTTTTTTTTTTTACTTCTCAAATATATATCACGTCAGTTAACACTTAAACAGCTAAACATAACGAAGACAATGGGGTGAAGGGCTGATTTGACACACAGAAATTACATCTGACGTCATGAAAAAATTATATGTCGAAATATAATCCTGTTATTGTTTATTCAATATCAGTTCGGAGGACAAATTCTAAATATAACAAATTTATTTTCGTATAAAATTTACTATTTTTAATCACCATTTACAAAAATTGTTTTCTAAATATGGTTAAGAATTTAGAAACCTTTCGTTAATTAATCTTTGAAGTTTACTAATTTGGTTATTATAATTAATTTTTTTGAAATAAATTATTAAGAAGAGATGAAAATTGATTTAAGAATAGTTTTTTTCTTGTGTTTATGCTTAGAAATTCGGAAGTTCTTTCGTGTG